TATGTTATTCCTCAACCTTGAATCCCATGAACAAATAGTGGTTGAAACCCCGCAACGAACTAACTCCACTACGAGTAATAGAAAACCTTCGAACCCCTTAAGGTAAAAAACTCTAAATACTCTACGAAGTAGATAGAGGTTGACAAGGCAAAAGTTGAGTTAATTTTTAATCTACCTACCTTGAAAACGGTAAAAGATTTATATTCATTTCTTGGTCATGCAAGATTCTATAGATGATTCATAAAAGGTTTTAGTGCAATATCATGCCCTTTATGTAATCTTTTGGCAAAAGATGCTCAAATTGTGTGGTCACCTATTTGTGAGGCTACTGTCCAAAAATTGAAAAATATGTTAATTTTGCCTCCAATCATTCAACCTTCTAATTTGGACATCCCATTTGAACTTATGTGTGATGCAAGTGATTATACAGTGGGAGTTGTATTAGGCCAAAGGTAGGACAAGAAACCAAATGTTATTTACTATGCTAGCAAAACCCTAAATGAGATGCAAATGAATTACACTACCACATAAAATGAATTGCTAGCTGTTATGTTTGCACTTGATAAATTTAGATCTTATATCATTGGTTCACCTATTGTTGTCTATATTGATCATTCTACTTTAAAGTATTTGTTGTCTAAGCAAGATGCGAAATTGAGACTCATTAGGTGGATCCTCCTCCTACAAGAATTTTATCTGATCATTAAAGATAATAAATAAGTTGAGAATGTGGTAGAAAATCATTTATCTCAACTTGTGTTTCAGGACACGCATGAGCATTTTCCCATTTATGATACTTTTTTTGATGAATATTTTATTTTTTATTACTACATCTTGTCCTTGGTATGCTGACATTGTTAATTTTCTTGTTACATGACAAATACCATCTTATTGGAGTCCACCAGATAAAATAAAATTTTTGGTGGAAGTTATGGTGAGTAACAAGATGTTATATCTTTTTTCCATTTGGAACAATGTGAAGGTCACTTTTTCTCAAAGAAGACTACTGCAAAGGTCTTGCAGTGCAGTTTCTATTGGTCTAGCCTATTCAAAGATTGTTTCCAATTTTACAAAACCTATAACAAATTTCAAAGATTGGATAGAGTGACTCGAAGGAATATGATGCCCCTTACTCCCATTCTGATGATCGAGATCTTTGACTGTTGGGGTATCGATTTCATGGAGCCTTTTCCCTCATCTTTTGGTTATCTCTATATTTTATTGGCTGTTGATTACATATCTAAGTGGGTAGATGCTATACCAACTAGGATAAATGGCCATAAATTTGTTATAAAATTTCTTAAGAAAAATATTTTGTCCAGGTTTTGTATGCCTAAGGTGATTATTAGTGATGGTGGTTCACATTTCTGCAATAGACCATTTGGGAATTTAATACATAAATGTGGTATCACACATAGAGTGTCCACTGCTTATCACTCAAAGATAAATGACCAAGCTGAGTTGGCCAATAGGGAAATTAAGCATATATTAGAAAAGACGATAAACCCTAACCACAAGGATTGATCAATTTGATTGACTGATGTTTTATGGGCCTACCGTACAACATACAAAACTCACTTAGGTATCTCTCCCTATAGACTGATCTACGACAAGACTTATTATTTGCTAGTGAAGATTAAACACCGAGCAAATTAGGCCATAAATTCATTGAATTATAGTTTGAGTCCAATTAGTGAGCACAGGAAATTGTTATTGAATGAATTAGAGAAAATACGTAGGGATGCGTATGAAAATACTAAGCTTTATAAAGAAAAGGTCAAAATCTTTCATGATAAAACAATACCTTTGCGTCAGGACAAAAAGTACTCTTATACAATTCCCACCTTCACATATTCCTAGGAAAGTTACAATCGCGATGGACTGGACCTTATATAGTTTGTGTTGTTTATCATAATAGGGCTGTGAAAATTCAAAATCCTAAGAATGGTCAAAATTTTGAAATTAATGGACAGAGGCTTAAGCCATTCTTAGAAAATTTTTCATCTGAGGATGTTGTGGAAGATTTGGTTGATCCTATGTATCAAGATCTTGATCATGTGTATAAAGATCTTGATACTAAATGATTACTTTCAAGAATAGTAGTGTACTGTTAGTAGTTTTTATTTTAATTTTTCAAATTGATGAATATCTTATTTCATTGTACTTACTTTCTTTTTTATAGCTTGTGTTGTTTTTCATATGGTGATTTTTCTTTATAGAAGTAGTGTCAGGTGTTTTCTTATCCTTAGGATATTTATTTTCTCATTCCATGACTGTTTTGCATTGAGGACAATGCATGATTTAAGTTGGAGGAGGGGGCTAAGGGTGCACCATTGTCATGTATACCACCAAGTTGTTTGTGAAAAATGATGAAAAATTGAAAAAAATTGAAAAAATAAAAGAAAAACAAAACAAAACATCCGATTTGGAATATATTATTCCCCTTTAATTAGCATGAGATTGTTAATTATTTCACTTGAATCTTGAATTATTTGCATGCTAACACATTAGAGGAGTTTATGTTATGCTTAAGTATCATATACATGTTTTCATGTGAAACTCAACGCTATATGCACATTGAAAAGAAAGAAAAAAAGAGAGAAGAAAAAGTGTTATGAAATGAAAAAGGAAAAAGAAGGAGAAATGAAGTAGTGTGCAAATTGATTTCGAAAGAGGAGATGTGATTAATAAAGTCATATTCTTGGGATAACTCCTTTTTGAATTTCTATATCCCTTTGTTTCTTTAGCTTAATTTTTACCATAGGCCACATTACAACTAGTTAAAGTCATTTTTGATCTCAGAAATCATGGGGAATGTATGTTCTAAGTCAAGTAAGAGATAGGTTAACTGTATTACTTTCATTTGCCTAACATTCATTTCATTAGATTATGCCAATGTTGTTTCATTTGCATAATTATACTTCATTTCTAGATTATATATGAGCTATGTTTTGCTTTGAATTATAAGAATCTGTCTCACATATAGACAATTAGTGAAACAATCGTATAATTAGAGTGTTGTATGTGTTGAGAGAAAATCCTTGGTGAGATTTGCATTGAAGCTAATTTTGGATAGCTAATGTAGATATGAGTTTTATTTGATAAATTTCTCAAATTGTATCCTCATTCCACACACACACACACACACATGTGTGAGAGTCTCTTGTGGAAATGTGCATGTGAATACTTTTTCATAGCATTTAAATCTGTGGTGTAGTAGCATGTAAATGTCTTAAAGAGGATGGAAGAATGATTAATGTATCTCATTGTTATTTAGAAGATTACAATATGTTCTAAGTTCATGATGTACAATAAAGGAAAGTTTATAGGTACCTTCANTTTTGCATTGAGGACAATGCATGATTTAAGTTGGAGGAGGGGGCTAAGGGTGCACCATTGTCATGTATACCACCAAGTTGTTTGTGAAAAATGATGAAAAATTGAAAAAAATTGAAAAAATAAAAGAAAAACAAAACAAAACATCCGATTTGGAATATATTATTCCCCTTTAATTAGCATGAGATTGTTAATTATTTCACTTGAATCTTGAATTATTTGCATGCTAACACATTAGAGGAGTTTATGTTATGCTTAAGTATCATATACATGTTTTCATGTGAAACTCAACGCTATATGCACATTGAAAAGAAAGAAAAAAAGAGAGAAGAAAAAGTGTTATGAAATGAAAAAGGAAAAAGAAGGAGAAATGAAGTAGTGTGCAAATTGATTTCGAAAGAGGAGATGTGATTAATAAAGTCATATTCTTGGGATAACTCCTTTTTGAATTTCTATATCCCTTTGTTTCTTTAGCTTAATTTTTACCATAGGCCACATTACAACTAGTTAAAGTCATTTTTGATCTCAGAAATCATGGGGAATGTATGTTCTAAGTCAAGTAAGAGATAGGTTAACTGTATTACTTTCATTTGCCTAACATTCATTTCATTAGATTATGCCAATGTTGTTTCATTTGCATAATTATACTTCATTTCTAGATTATATATGAGCTATGTTTTGCTTTGAATTATAAGAATCTGTCTCACATATAGACAATTAGTGAAACAATCGTATAATTAGAGTGTTGTATGTGTTGAGAGAAAATCCTTGGTGAGATTTGCATTGAAGCTAATTTTGGATAGCTAATGTAGATATGAGTTTTATTTGATAAATTTCTCAAATTGTATCCTCATTCCACACACACACACACACACATGTGTGAGAGTCTCTTGTGGAAATGTGCATGTGAATACTTTTTCATAGCATTTAAATCTGTGGTGTAGTAGCATGTAAATGTCTTAAAGAGGATGGAAGAATGATTAATGTATCTCATTGTTATTTAGAAGATTACAATATGTTCTAAGTTCATGATGTACAATAAAGGAAAGTTTATAGGTACCTTCACTGAAAACCTTCATGAGACACAACTCGTCCATTAGGGGTGACTTAAAGGTTTAAAGGCTTGTTGTATTTGCTAAATATAATTGTGTATCCTACAAAAGTGGCTTTAGATTTCATTTAGTATCCTTAATTGACTTGCAACTTAAATTCTAAGTAATGTGTAAGTTAGTACATGTTTTGTGTTTTTACTTATTACATTATGTGTAATTAGGTTATGGTTGTCTTAGGCATGTAAATAGGTGGCAAGAATCCTTAGGATCAGTTAAATAAAGGAAAGAAAACTAAAAAAAATAAAATTAAGAAAATGTAGAAAAGCACAACCAATCAGTTGATCAGAGGAAATGTTGACTTCAATCGATTGAAGTAGTCGATCAACCAATTGAGGGTCAAAAATGACATTTTCGATGTTTAGGGGGTGGAGGGCGAGGGGTAAACTAACGATTTTTCATTCTTACACTTCAAAACACTCACCCACTCTTTTAAACTCTCCCCATATTTTCGAAAACCACCAGCCATCATCCCAAGAGCCATAGACCTTCCATCTATCTTCTTTCTCTCATCTCCATCAAAAATTTCTAAGCTTCCAAACCTTAGGTTCATCAATGGCTTCAAGAAAATCTTTTAGTTTTTCTACTGGGGGTTCCTCTAAGGGGTTGTCTTCTTGGTTATGGATGTGTATTATGTTTGCTATGATGGTTGATATGGTTTTGGTAGGCATGGCCAAGACTCGTGGAGTATCTTCTATAGCTTCTAGGGCTAGAGCAACTAGGAAGGAAAAAGGCAAAGGAAAGGCTACTGCGAGTGAGCAACATCTTGAGGTGCCTCTAGAGTTCGAGTCTAGAAAGAGGAAAAAGGATTCCTATGAGGAAGTTATAACAAGTAAGATTACTAAATGTGAGGGTATGCTGGACTATAGGAGCCTAGAGAAGGTGGTGCCAATTCGTCGGATTGTGTAGTTGGGTTTAGAGTTTTTCTTTTGATGGTTATTTGTCATTATGTAGAGAGTTTTTCAGTGGCTTGAGAGAGGTGGATGGGGACCTTCAGACCTTGAGGACGATAGTGAGAGACCAGATTGTACAGGTTACACCTAATACGATAGCTGAGTATTTGGGTTATTAGTGGCCACAGGAAGATAAGGTTAAATACCTAAACCCTAAGTTCATTGCAAAGCTGTTAGTTGAGTATGTGACATTGATGTACAAGTATCTAGCTCAGTTTGATGGGTAATTTAGCGTAGGTAAGTTGACTACTAATTATCGGAATATGAGTAAGATTCTGCACTATAATGTTATGCCTAAGGGGTTTGATAAGAGGTTGCCTATTGGTAAGATTATCTTGTTGTATGAGGTCATGCAAGGGTTATAGATAGACATTGAATTGTTTATGTGGGGAGTGATTAGAGACTATATATTGGAGGCTAAGTCTAGGAGGAATATGCCATTCGACAGGATGACTACACAGTTTCGTATCCAGGCTAGGGTGAAGAGGACACATGAGGATCATTTGACTTCTCTAGAGAAGTGGCCTATTAGAAGTTTCTTAGAGAGGAATAGTGATACGACGTCACGAGTTGGTATAAATAGGCCTACATCCATTCCTGTACCTACACCTCCTTCATTTACCACTGTTCCAACTACTTTGAAAGCCATGCTACCACAAAGGATTGATAGGCTGGAGAAGAGAATAAAGGGCAAGTAGATGGATATGCAGGAGACACAGTCATGGATTTTGAGAGAGTTAGAGTTCTTAGCTGTGGTTCAGAGAATGATGTTTGAGGCTATACTGCATGGTGTGACATATCCAGGGGTTCCACTACCACCACCTATTTCTCAGCCTACTAGTTCAGTGTCACCTGCATCTACAGCTGTGCCACAACCTGCTTTTGTGACTGAGCCTTGAGGAGATATGCACGAGTTAGGCAATAGTGATTCTGAGGAGAAGGGGGAGTATGAGTCTAAGTATGAGTTAGAGGAAGAGGCTTCTGATTAGTCTGATTAGCTTTTGTTGTTTCTGGAAAGTAAATCTAGCTAGATTTTGTAATAGTCTAGGGTAATAAACTTTCATTTATTATCCTATGTTTATTTTATTTTGAGCTTTTGTTCCTGCTAGCATTTATATATATATATTGGACATCCTTTGGTTTATTTTGTGTTTTTAAATTTCTTGTTATGATTAGGTTGTTGTGTGATTGCTTTTAATTGTGCATGATATGATGAACTGATAAAAACATTCTTAATTTTGGTTTGATAGGGACTAGTAATGCTTAAGTTGGGGGGGGGGGGTATGTTTATCACTTAGTATTGCATATTTCATTAAGTAAACCATTCATTTTATGTGTTTAATTAACAATATCTCTCCAATTTTGGGTTGATTATTAATTAAAGCCACATTGATGTTTGTACATGTGAAATAAGTGATAAAGATTAATGTTAATGTTGTGGAATGATCAAGGAAGCAAGGAGGACCAATAGAGGAAAGAATGGAACAAAACTTGAGTAAAAAAGGAAGTTCAACCAGTTGAACAATCAACTTCATTCGGTTGATCAAGGAATTTTTGAGATACTAGGACAATTCAAGATACTAATAGTACTTCAATCGGTTGGTCATGACACTTTAATTGGTTGGTCTGAGTTTGACAAGATGTGGAAAAAGTACTGGGATTGCTTCAACCGGTTGGTACCTTTCAACTGGTTGATCAAACAAAGTCAAGACCAAAGTAGAGTACTGAGAGTCATTCAACTGGTTGAAGAAGGGCGATCAACCGGTTGATGCTAAGTTGGTTTAGACAGAAACTTTTCTGCAATCTCATTCATCGATAAGGGTTTGCTAAACACTCATGAGGAGTGGCTCCGAACTTCTAGGCGAGCATTCTAATTAGTTGAACTCACCTCCCAAGATTCAAGTAAGGTTTTTTTATTGGCCAAGTCGGGTGGACGAAGCCTCTTCGGCAATGCATCCATCATCTGGGCCACACACCATGACCAATGAGAAGGGGGGGAATGGGGGTATATATATGGAGATGTATCTTTAGATAGGAGTTCCTCTCTCTTTTCTGAAAGTTTTTCACTTTTATCTTAGACTAAGGAGTAGAGTTTTTTTTGTAACTTTTCATTTTCAAATCTTCGCCAGGTTTTAGAGAAGACAACTCTTGTGGGTAATTCAAAGCTTTGTTCTTGTGGCATTGGTACTTATAAATTGTGAAGCAATCATTGTGTGAGGAATCTCTTTAATTTAGTTGTTCTCTTTAATTCCGAATATTACGTCAATCATCTGAATATAATGAAGATAAACATCCAAGAAGTCAACCGTCGCTCTTTTCGAATGACCTCCTTCATCGAGTCATTCGATGTTTCGAAGATTGCCAAGGCTTGGTGGAGATGATACATCACTTGACTATTTGACTGTGACACGATCACTATCCTTAACCATGCGAACTTCCCATCACCAGTTAAATCATCTCTCAAGGCCAACTCAGTCAGGGCTTCTCCTTCTATTGTTATTCCTTATTATGTAATTGACCCTAATCCTACAATCTCTGTGGATTTGGCATCTTTAACTATTCCCAATTCTCCAACACGGTCTTGCCACAAGGACAGACGACGACATTCTTCTATAACTTCTTCTACGTCTATTTCTCATGCTCAAGTTGACGAGGACCAAGATGCTGAAGATGATGCCTCCCTTTGCACTATGTTTGTCAGCGTGAAAGTATTCCTCCTTCTATGACCTTTCGTTAGTTTAAAGCCCTCTCAAGATGCCATCTTTGGGAACCTCAAGCCCTTTGGCCCAGCCACTATTCCAATTTCTATGGCTTCGTTTATGGCCATAGCTGAATTGGCTCCATCAGAGCCTTCTTTTGATAATATGGTCACTGATGCAGCTGACGATGTGAAGTTGTGGACCTTGAATTGGAGGAAAGTCTAACCCCAAGGCAAGCATCTCTCGCCTCTCCAGCAGGCCAAAACACTCTTGAGATTACTGAGATTATCCAGATCGTGGTCCCTTCTAGAGCCTTTGCTACTTCCTCGGTTACTCTTCCTTCTCGTGATGCTGAGTTATCTTCTATCCTGGCTTCCTTGAAAGCTTGTCTCTCTTTCGGTCTTATATCCTTCCAACAGTCAAGGCTGATTCTAGACCGCGATTTTGAACGCCATTGTGGGACCGTAATGATAGTCCTAACTAGCCACCTTGCAATTTTTGGGGATCAGATAAACCTCCTTGAGGATCGACTTGACTCTATTAGAGCCCTCTCCATCTCTCCTTTTCTTCTCAACGAGGACCACCAGAAACTTGCTGACTTAGTCGATGGACTTTTAGCCCTTCTTTGAGAAGCGGAGACATTGTATTTTAAGCAACAGGATTGTGTTTCCATCATCCGTGATCAACGAGATCCATTCGTTGACCTAAATTAGCAAATTCAAATTTGCTCACCCACTCGAGCCACTTTAAGTATCTTCCTTAGAGGCTGATTGACATATATCGTAAGATTGCCGAGCTCGAGGTCAAACATGCAGAACTCCTAGAGGAATCTATGTCCTTTCTGATTCGTGCGTAAAGTTAATAATTTTTACTATACCTTTTTAGACTAATTGTGCTTTGATGGATTTTAAGTAATGACATTTCAGGTCCTAAAGTGAACAAAGGCTCAAGAACAATAAAAATCACACTTGAATGTAACACCAGCACAATAGGGAACAAAATTTTAGAAGGTTGGAACAAAGCAAGAACGTTCGAATGTCAAACCATGTTCGAGCGTCAACCCACGTTCGAATGTCCTCTGAAACCCTGCCAAGACCAGCTGCTGAGATATGGCGTGTTGCAGTCAACAAAGGGAAAATGCTGAGGTACTTGAGTGCCATGTTCGAACGCCAAATCACGTTCGAACGTTCTCTGGAATCCTGAGAAGACTACACCACTGGAATCAAGCATGTTGCAGTAAAGAAAGAAGAACCAGAAGTACTTGAGTACAACGTTCGAACGTTACTCCACGTTCGAATGTTGTCTTGAGTGATTGAGAACCAAGTTGCTGAGTGTAAAGTCAAGGTTGTTTAAGACGTATGGAAGTAACCAAGTCAATGACCATAGGCCATTTGAGTGGAAGAAATCAGACCCCATCAAGCATTCGAACGCCCTCAAAGCAAAGAGACAGAGGATGTTTGAATGTTATCTAACGTTCGAACGTCCTTGAAGAAAAGACAGACTTAACGTTCGAACGTCAGATCACGTTCGAATGTCCTCTACAGACTGTCTGCAAAATAGTTTATTCCCATGGGCGACAAACACTATTCACTCATCCTCTCTTATCTCTTACCCCCTCCCTTTCCTTGCCTATAAATATTCCCATGTTGGGAGCTTAAAGGGCATTCCTCCTCTTGTAGAGAAAATGGGGAGCAATCTTTGTTCTTATAAGAGTGTTTTAGTAATCTAGTTCTTGAACATTTCATGTTTATGTTTTCATTTTACATTTATATCAACCATGATGGAGGCTTAGACTCCCCTTGTAGTTGAAGTCTTTCATTTACTTATGCTAAGTCTTTACATTCATGTTGTGACAACCATGATGGAGGGTTAGACTTCCCTTGCAGTTATACTTACTTTTATTTACAAAGTATCAAGAGAGGTAGTTCATCTTTTAGTTGTGGTGGAAACCCTCCAAAATCAACTAGCTTTCTTCTACTTTTATTGTTCATGTATTTCACTTCCATTGCTTGAGCATCATTCTTTCTTAGAAGAGTGAAACTCTTCCACTTTTCTAGAGCTTTACCAAAGCCGTGAAGGGTGGAAAGTGATTTACTTATTTTTCATTGAAGAAAAGCTCTTTGTTTAGTTTGCTTTACTTAGTAGTTTCTTTACTTAGAAGGATGAGTAGCACTCACTTTTCTAGCTTTGCCAAGACCATGAAAAGTAAGTAGTTCCTTATTCACTCTTTAGTAAGAGGGGATCAATATGTAAAGATTATCCGAAAGTTATGTTTGTGCAACTTCTTCATGCTTTAATGCTTTATACTCCACCTGTTCATTGGACGATTGAATGTACCTAGTAATGTTGAGGGACTTTGTATAACCAAAGGCTCCATCTATGATACGGATGACTCCTGCATAGAAAGACTCGTTGGTTCAATGCAAGTACCCCAGCTAGCTCTTCATGACAACCTTTCAATCCCCACCATTATTACGCTTTATTTAGAGAATGGATCATTAATGCCATGGTTAGATGCCTTGTAGAAACACTTGCTTGTTTGGAGACGGGTTAAGTCTCGGTACAGACAATTCTTGTAAACTTTTAGAAAGGCATCGAAATTATGTGCTTAATTCTCACAGTCCATCTTTATCTTCCGATTAACTTGCTGTTGACATGAGAGTTAATTGAGTTATAAAGTACAAACATAATAAAACGGATACTCTATTACATGTCCTGATCCTCGAGCTAAAGGGTGGCTGTTACATTTTGAGAATCTTATATTTTGTCTAGAAAACTGTTGAAAAGAATCTTCTATTCTATTCAAGAAAATCCCATCACTTCAAAAACTCAAAATTTCCAAGTTACTTGGTCTCTATTATTACTTACTTCAAAACACCAATCATCGTTCCCTGTGGATTCGACTCCGGACTTTACCGGATTATTACTACAACTTGACCGCCTGCACTTGGGTGTACACATGCTGAATCAAGTCACTTTCAAGGGCATTTGGAGGAACTTAAGGCTGCTACAGTGAATGTCACGACCTTTGTAGTTACGGGCTCGATCCCTGTCGAGTCTAGTTTGGCAGGATTANTACTTATTTTTCATTGAAGAAAAGCTCTTTGTTTAGTTTGCTTTACTTAGTAGTTTCTTTACTTAGAAGGATGAGTAGCACTCACTTTTCTAGCTTTGCCAAGACCATGAAAAGTAAGTAGTTC